GGCTCGCTCTGTTTATACACTATATAAATCCATAGATGGATAGAAGCAGGGCTCGCTCTGTTTATACACTATATAAATCCACAGATGGATAGAAGCAGGGCTCGCTCTGTTTATACACTATATAAATCCACAGATGGATAGAAGCAGGGCTCGCTCTGTTTTATACACTATATAAATCCACAGATGGATAGAAGCAGTGCTCGCCTGTTTTATGGGCTAATTATATAACCATAGATAGGAAGCAGGGCTCGCTCTGTTTATACACTATATAAACTACAGATAGAAGCAGTGCTCACTTCTGTTTATACACTATATAACCATAGATAGATAGAAGCAGGTCATTTCCGTTTTATACACACTATATAAATCCATAGATAGATAGAAGCAGGCTCAGCTCTGTTTATACACTATAGCAACTATAGATGATAGAAGTAGGCTCATTTGCTTACACACATTATATAAATCCATAGATAGATAGAAGCAGGACTCACTCTGTTTATACACTATATAAATCGATAGATAGATAGAAGCAGGGCTCGCTCTGTTTATACACTATATAAATCGATAGATAGATAGAAGCAGGGCTCGCTCTGTTTATACACTATAAAAATCCATAGATAGATAGAAGCAGGGCTCGCTCTGTTTATACACTATATAAATCCATAGATAGATAGAAGCAGGGCTCGCTCTGTTTATACACTATATAAATCCATAGATAGGAGCAGGGCTCGCTCTGTTTATACACTATATAAATCCATAGATAGATAGAAGCAGGGCTCGCTCTGTTTATACACTATATAAATCCATAGATAGATAGAAGCAGGGCTCGCTCTGTTTATACACTATATAAATCAATAGATAGAAGCAGGGCTCGCTCTGTTTATACACTATTTAAATCCATAGATAGATAGAAGCAGGGCTCGCTCTGTTTATACACTATATAAATCCATGGATAGAAGCAGGGCACGCTCTGTTTATACACTATATAAATCCATAGATAGATAGAAGCAGGGCTCGCTCTGTTTATACACTATATAAATCCATAGATAGAAGCAGGGCTCGCTCTTTTATACACTATATAAATCCATAGATAGATAGATAGAAGCAGGACTCGCTCTGTTTATACACTATATATAAATCCATAGATAGATAGAAGCAGGGCTTGCACTGTTTATACACTATATAAATCCATAGATAGAAGCAGGGCTCACTCTGTTTATACACTATATAAATCCATGGATAGATAGAAGCAGGACTCGCTCTGTTTATACACTATATAAATCCATAGATAGATAGAAGCAGGACTCGCTCTGTTTATACACTATATAAATCCATAGACAGAAGCAGGGCTCGCTCTGTTTATACACTATATAAATCCATAGATAGATAGATAGAAGCAGGGCTCGCTCTGTTTATACACTATATAAATCCATAGATAGATAGAAGCAAGGCTCGCTCTGTTTATACACTATATAAATCCATAGATAGAAGCAGGACTCGCTCTGTTTATACACTATATAAATCCATAGATAGATAGAAGCAAGGCTCGTTCTGTTTATACACTATATAAATCCATAGATAGAAGCAGGACTCGCTCTGTTTATACACTATATAAATCCATAGATAGATAGAAGCAAGGCTCGCTCTGTTTATACACTATATAAATCCATAGACAGAAGCAGGGCTCGCTCTGTGTATACACTATATAAATCCATAGACAGAAGCAGGGCTCGCTCTGTGTATACACTATATAAATCCATAGATAGATAGAAGCAGGGCTCGCTCTGTTTATACACTATATAAATCCATAGATAGATAGAAGCAGGACTCGCTCTGTTTATACGCTATATAAATCCATAGATAGATAGAAACAGGGCTCGCTCTGTTTATACACTATATAAATCCATAGATAGATAGATAGAAACAGGGCTCGCTCTGTTTATACACTATATAAATCCATAGATAGATAGAAGCAGGACTCGCTCTGTTTATACACTATATAAATCCATAGATAGATAGATAGAAACAGGGCTCGCTCTGTTTATACACTATATAAATCCATAGATAGATAGAAGGAGGACTCGCTCTGTTTATACACTATATAAATCCATAGATAGATAGAAGCAGGGCTCGCTCTGTTTATACACTATATAATTCCATAGATAGATAGAAGCAGGGCTCGCTCTGTTTATACACTATATAAATCCATAGATAGATAGATAGAAGGAGGACTCGCTCTGTTTATACACTATATAAATCCATAGATAGATAGAAGCAGGGCTCGCTCTGTTTATACACTATATAAATCCATAGATAGATAGAAGCAGGGCTCGCTCTGTTTATACACTATATAAAGCCATGGATAGATAGAAGCAGGACTCGCTCTGTTTATACACTATATAAATCCATATATAGCTAGAAGCAGGACTCGCTCTGTTTATACACTATATAAATCCATAGATAGAAGCAGGTCTCGCTCTGTTTATACACTATATAAATCCATAGATATAGATAGAAGTAAGGGCTAAACTCTGTTTATACTATATAAATCCATAGATAGAAGCAGGGCTCGCTCTGTTTATACACTATATAAAGCCATGGATAGATAGAAGCAGGACTCGCTCTGTTTATAAACTATATAAATCCATAGATAGATAGAAGCAGGGCTCGCTCTATTTATACACTATATAAATCCATAGACAGAAGCAGGGCTCGCTCTGTGTATACACTATATAAATCCATAGATAGATAGAAGCAGGGCTCGCTCTGTTTATACACTATATAAATCCATAGATAGAAGCAGGGCTCGCTCTGTTTATACACTATATATAAAGCCATAGATAGATAGATAGAAGCTGGGCTCGCTCTGTTTATGCACTATATAAATCCATAGATAGAAGCAGGCCTCGCTCTGTTTATACACTATATATAAAGCCATAGATAGATAGAAGCTGGGCTCGCTCTGTTTATACACTATATAAATCCATAGATAGATAGAAGCAGGGCTCGCTCTGTTTATACACTATATAAATCCATAGATAGAAGCAGGGTTAAACTCTGTTTATACACTATATAAATCCATAGATAGATAGAAACAGGGCTGCGCTCTGTTTTATACACTATATAAATCCATAGATAGATAGATAGAAACAGGGCTGCGCTCTGTTTATACACTATATAAATCCATAGATAGATAGAAGCAGGACTAAACTCTGTTTGCATACACTATATAAATCCATAGATAGATAGATAGAAACAGGGCTGCATTTCTGTTATACACTATATAAATCCATAGATAGATAGAAGCAGGGGGCTAGCTCTGTTTATACACTATATAAATCCACCTAGATAGAAACGGGGTTAAACTCTGTGTATACACTATATAAATCCATAGATAGATAGAAGCAGGACTACGCTCTGTTTATACACTATATAAATCCATAGATAGATAGAAACAGGGCTAAACTCTGTTTATACACTATATAAATCCATAGATAGATAGAAACAGGGCTAAGCTCTGTTTTACATACACTATATAAATCCATAGATAGATAGAAGCAGGACTCGCTCTGTTTATACACTATATAAATCCATAGATAGATAGAAACAGGGCTCGCTCTGTTTATACACTATATAAATCCATAGATAGATAGAAGGAGGACTCGCTCTGTTTATACACTATATAAATCCATAGATAGATAGAAGCAGGGCTCGCTCTGTTTATACACTATATAATTCCATAGATAGATAGAAGCAGGGCTCGCTCTGTTTATACACTATATAAATCCATAGATAGATAGAAGCAGGACTCGCCCTGTTTATACACTATATAAATCCATAGATAGATAGATAGATAGAAGCAGGGCTCGCTCTGTTTATACACTATATAAATCCATAGATAGATAGAAGCAGGGCTCGCTCTGTTTATACACTATATAAAGCCATGGATAGATAGAAGCAGGACTCGCTCTGTTTATACACTATATAAATCCATATATAGCTAGAAGCAGGACTCGCTCTGTTTATACACTATATAAATCCATAGATAGAAGCAGGTCTCGCTCTGTTTATACACTATATAAATCCATAGATAGATAGAAGCAGGGCTCGCTCTGTTTATACACTATATAAATCCATAGATAGATAGAAGCAGGGCTCGCTCTGTTTATACACTATATAAATCCATAGATAGAAGCAGGGCTCGCTCTGTTTATACACTATATAAATCCATAGATAGATAGAAGCAGGGCTCGCTCTGTTTATACACTATATAAATCCATAGACAGAAGCAGGGCTCGCTCTGTTTATACACTATATAAATCCATAGATAGATAGAAGCAGGACTCGCTCTGTTTATACACTATATAAATCCATAGATAGAAGCAGGGCTCGCTCTGTTTATACACTATATAAATCCATAGATAGATAGAAGCAGGGCTCGCTCTGTTTATACACTATATAAATCCATAGATAGATAGAAGCAAGGCTCGCTCTGTTTATACACTATATAAATCCATAGACAGAAGCAGGGCTCGCTCTGTGTATACACTATATAAATCCATAGATAGATAGAAGCAGGGCTCGCTCTGTTTATACACTATATAAATCCATAGAAGCAGGGTTCGCTCTGTTTATACACTATATAAATCCATAGATAGATAGAAGCAGGACTCGCTCTGTTTATACACTATATAAATCCATAGATAGATAGAAACAGGGCTCGCTCTGTTTATACACTATATAAATCCATAGATAGATAGAAGCAGGACTCGCTCTGTTTATACGCTATATAAATCCATAGATAGATAGAAACAGGGCTCGCTCTGTTTATACACTATATAAATCCATAGATAGAAGCAGGGCTCGCTCTGTTTATACACTATATATATCCATAGATAGA